GGAGAAATCATATTGCTGTTGAGTACTGGTTCTCACATCGAGTCATAAACTCTTGGAACCGACTCCCAGAAGAAGTGGTGTCTGCAACCTCAACTGATTCGTTCAAGAAGGGTTTGGACAACCACAGAAATCTACTAGAAAAGGATTAACATAGGCTGCAAGCCTTCTATCCTCAACCAATAAATCTGAGTCTGATATTTTTGCATCTACCAGCTTATTATTCTTTCACAGTACCAGTGAAGACGACTGGGAATTTAACAGCGCTCCTATGAACCACATGGTGTCGTAAACACATGCCAATGTAGTCTGAACACAAGCTAACCACGAAAATTCACATTCATACAAGAGACTATTGAAAACCACTAGGATTAATATTTCAGAGGATGGTGAAGTGATATTACCTAGCAGATGCACTAGAGAAATACTAATTTACAATGCTCATAGTGTGTGTATAATAGGATATTATGCAATAATTTTCCTGGACAATATAACCATTTTATCAACTCAATCGAACAAGACCATATTTGACTAGGCATTTAACAAATATATTAGGAAAACTGTAAAATATGATAACATACCTGCTCGAATATCTCCTGCTGTTCTTTCGCCAGCCTTTCCAGTTCCTCACTATCCTGATGCTTGAATCTGTAGCTGGCGCTAAGCATTTTACGACCTTTAATTTCCTCCTTAGCTTCCTGGCATGCAAGTTCAACGTGTTCTTTGTATGAAGATAAGTTCATTGCATCCAAACCTGAATTATAAAGTTAAATTTCAAGATATTCACATACCCTCAAGTATATGTTGTGGACTTATTGTTTTCTTGTTAGCTTTAGAGCATGCTATATTTGCTTCAGTGGCTAATTTATGAATAAAAACGTGACAACAATTAAGGAGAAGGTCACGGGTTTCAGTAGTTAACCGTGCATCTGGAACTATTTCTTTCACGAACTTATTAAGAGAGGCGCGCGGGATGGAGACTTCATCTTCTTCTTTTGAAGGGAAATCGTCATCATCCGAATAGGCTTTGCTACTGTTACTCTGTGAGTATCACACAACTTACGGCTCATATTGATTGGTCAGTTTAAGATGACCGGGGTAGACAAGTAGTTAACCTCTGGAAGAAAAATAAGGTAAAAAAATTTTTTATCCGCGATGAAAACAGTATTTCTCAAATGTGCCGTACCATTTTGTTGAACTTTCACTTCACCAATAATCTGCTGTAGCATGAAGATTTTCTGAAGATAAGTTTTCTTGTTCCTGTGCAAGGCAGAAGAGAGATACAGTAAACTCTAGAGTTCAGTGGACAGTATACTATTGCTTAATTCCACACCATCAGTTTCTGCAATATACGGATAAAACCAAAAGGAACTAACTCTAGTTTACATAATACTTAGGAGTACTAATGAGTTTCGAGAATATCTGGCTTTAATTTCGACCCAATGGGTAGATGACAACAGGCTATCCTCCTAAAGCGACAGTCATGCATTAGATTACTCGTAAGATCTCGGTTGCACTCAGCTGGAGTCCTAAGCTAGGATGAGGCTGATATGCAACACTTCTTGTCTTCCAGCTGATATCAGCGGATGACGAAGTCCTCACGAGACACTTTATTCTTGTTTTTTCCATTTTGTTGACGCAAATCATACATGAAACTATTCGAGTTCTCTTCGGTGCGTAATTATGGAAGTGCGTTACCAGGAAACTCAACTTATCACGGATAGTTAGTGCTCTCGTTATGTACAATATCCAATATCGTTTTCACGAGCTAGTATAAACCAATTTGATTTCTTTGTACTCGCCTCCTGATTGTGAGTTATAGGTTCCTAATCTTCGGTAAACTTCTGCCTAGCTCGTCCCACCACTTGGCTGTCGTAACTTTGGTTTACTCCGAAAGGAGTAGTGCTGGCATTAATTATATGTGGTTTGTAGTATGAGGTGTGTTAAGACTGTTGCTACTGTGAATGGAGTTGATCCTTTCACCAGTTAGTCCTCCAGTATCGTCAAAAGAAAAGAGATAATAATATGTATAATTAGTGAATTTATTCAGACTAACAGACAAAGAGAGAAATAAGAAAACTTAACAGCAGACAGCTGACTAAATTTGAAGAATAATATGAATAATATATATATATCCGTAATAATGGTGATAATTATAATAGGTATAGTTAAAGCTGCCAGAAGAGTAAGACGGGAGGGAATGTAAAGAAGTAGAGCGACAAGTTTAATTGCCTACCCCTGAATGGTGTATGCGATTTTGAGGGGATGCGCCATTTAGATGCATTCGTTGTGTCGCTGCGTGGTTGTCCAGCGTTCGCTTAAAGCCCTCCATAGACGGTGCCATAGCTACATCTGCCGGTAAGAAATTCCAGGGACGGAAAACCCTCTGTCAATGTAGTTGAAGATTGAACGATCAATTCATGGTTGTTTGCTCAAACCCAACTCCTGCATATTTTTCGCGGGAGTCATCAATCCAGCAGTCATCGTCTCATCGTTCGCTGTTCGGTGGAAGACAGAAAATTATCAGAAGTTTTATTGTGATTTATTGTTATAACATTTATTCTCATACCTTGTGTATAATAACCTTATTGTTGGTTACATGTTGGCGTAAGAATAAAAGATTCTCGAGTCGCCAATCTGTATTCTGGTTTTCACGTTTGTTAATACAAATTGTTTCTGAACGTCTTTGAGCGTGAGGTCCAGCGTAGTACGAGCTGAACATTGACAGTTTTCGAGAGTTGGCTGACACCCACAATGAAAAGAAGTGGTAGCGCACCCGAGTCCTTGCCCTCTGGTGTGCTATCCTTCTGGGATTTCCACGATGGTGGTCATTTGTTATTTTGTAGGCAGCAATTAAATCGCTTCTAAGACGACGGTATCTGAGTGTGAATAGGCCTAATTTCTTTCATCACATGGTTTGTTTCGGGGACTAACTACTGCTTTTGTTGCCCGTCTTTGGACTCTTTCCAAGAGGTTGGCGTCTCTTCTAAGCAGTGGGGGTGCAATAATATAAGGCACTTCAAGGTGTGGTCTGACGTATGCTTTGTGCAACCTTAGAAAGAGCACCTAACTATTTATGTGCAAAGTGTATAACCGCACATGCCATCGCTACTTCCCCCACTTGTGTCCATTTTTTCCGTTAGAACTAGACCTAAGTCGCGTTCCGACGTTGTGTAGGACAAGCCTTCATTGCCCAGGGTGTAACTTGCATTCTGCAGTCTACAGGTACGTAACTTCACTACTGTGCACTTTTTCAGGTTGAAAGTCTCGACTGACCTTAGTCCTTTAATCATGACAGAAGTGGATTACCTATACCTGCCTGGCTTATTTTGTGTAGGGAAAGGTCATGTTGGATAGTGTCAAATGCCTTCTCAAAGCCTAGGAAGACCACATGGACTGGAACATTCATACCTCAGAATGATGTCCAATCGTCCCAAGCCCATAGTAGTTTAGTGTTGCAAGATCTGTGTCAGCCACGTCTCGTAAACCGTCAATGCCCAGCTCTTGCTACGCTGGGACTCACGCTGTCCCTTGAAGTTTCTCAGAAACGCTTAGTAATAACGGACGCAAAACCAAAACACCGATTGGCTACTCGAGAGTTCTTTATTGTAGCACCAACATATATCCAACTTTAAAATTAAGCTTTAACTAAGGTCTATGAACAAATATTACAATAATAAATCACAATATTACTTCTGACAGTTTTGTTCTGTCTTCTTTCTGAACAGAGACCGATGAGACGAGGGTGAGGATATACGTGGGTTCGTGTTATATTTTCCGCGACTCAGTTTTTTTCGTCTTTCATTGGCTAGAATGGTGGCGGTCAATTGGAGTTTGAATTGTCCTTGGGTGCGTGCTGTCGGGTGCTGTCTTTGCGTGGTTGTGTTTGCGTCGTTTGCCAGCATATGTGATTACTATAAACGTGTATTAGACTATTGTAACGCTTTGTTTTTCTTTGTTTGTGCATGTACTAGGCTTTATTTGTCGTACAATTCGTTGTTTGGTCTATTGGTTGCTTGCGATGTCAACGAACCGGTGGGTTCTTGTGTTTTTCTGTAATTTAGGTTATACGTGCGGTATTTTCTTGATGGTTATCGATCATCCCTGTATTTCGATGTTGTTTGTTTACGATTTATCTTGGAATAGTTGTGACATAGATGGATCCTAATTGATAATTTTATTTTAGTCCGTTGCAGGTAGTCAATTCGAGTGACAGGAGCACAGATTTAAGTGGAATTTTTGGTGAATACATACTTGGAAGGCGTTTCTTCAGCTGGGATGAATTTGAGAAGTCATTAGCAGAATTTCAAAAAGTGAGGAAGTCATTTAATGCTAACAGTGTAGTTATCCTGCACTCACTATGTTCATAATTGCAGCAAAACGATACCGGATGACAGGTTTAAGTACGCTTATGTTGGTTTTAAATGCACTTTTGGAGTGAATCGTACAAGACCTGGTTTGAAATTAAAAAACAAGTCGTAAGAAGAAGTGTAGTATGATTTCATGAATATTTCAGGTCTAAATGTTGCAATTGCTTGTCTTCATTTCGCGTGGTTTTGCGTTATAGTGAATACATAATTGCTTCCCACAATATGGTGCATAACCATCCATGCAGCAGGGTGTACATGCAGAATGATCCGTGGTATAGACGACTAACAGTTGAAGAGAAAGAAAACATTGAACCACTTCTTCAGCAATCCCACTCATCCGATGAAATAATAATGCATGTTAAGGAGAAGTACCACAAGGATATAACTCGCATTGACGTTAAAAATATGAAAGCCGCAGTGAATAAAGGTAACGTTGACGTACTTGTTACACACTTAAGGTATTTCGAGTCGTCGTGACATTTTTGAATTCCTAAAATCCCGTGGGAAGTTAATGGAGTATTATTCCGATGAACCGATCAGGAATTCACTAACAAGAATTTGTTTTGCAACTTATGAGCAAATGGAATTGTATAAACAGTTCCCTGAAGTTGTTGGTATCGACTCGACGTATAATACAAATAAAGGGAAGTAAGTTTATCAATTCATTAATCAATGTGCAGGTATTCTTTGTTCCAGTTACTTGTGACGGATAATTTTGGTCGTGGACGACCAGTTTTATTTGCGTGGACTAGAAAAGAATTCAAACGAGATGTAGTTTGGATATTAGACTGTTTCCGTCAAATAATGGAAGACACCTCCAAAACAGAATCCTTCATTATGGATTGTGCGCAAGCTGAAATAGCAGCCGTCAAGTTAACGCACAGACAAGCGCACATTGTTTTGTGTTCTTTCCATGTTTGCCGAGCATTCTGTCGGAAAGTAAGTTTTTCAAAGCATACTTTACATTTTATTCGTAGACAAGAAATCCCATTGTGAAGAATTATTTATGCCGTCTAGTGCAGTGTAAAAGGAGATCAGAGTAATGCCTCTAATGTTCTCATTTTCCAGATTTAATTTCTACTTCAGAGTTATTTCATTTCCATTTCAGAAAGCCATATTTCACAGGTATATTTGCGTTTTTATGACCCAGTTTTTAATGTATGTCGAGCGAAACTTGATTAATTATTGTTCTTATATACGGAAAGTTGTAATTTTCATTACCGTATTCGTGTGTACGATGCGTTAACTGGAAACAGGACACAAGCACTACCATCGTTGCACCTGTAATAATCAGTTCATAGTTATCTTAACGTTTTTTGTTCCACCTTTTGTAGTTAACCATGTGATGCATAATTGCAAACAGTGGACGTGGTCACGCAACTTGTTCGCATCTCAAAGTACGTCAGCAGTTATCCCTCGAAATCGAAGTGACATATTCAATACCAAAAAGAGGATTATCATTGCGGGTATGAACAGAATTAATGACAAATTTGGAGAAGTGTTTGCCAATACTTATGCAGACGGAGTAATCGCAGGAATCAATCGTGTTCTTAATATGTAAATAAACTAAATTTGTATCATAATGAAAATAAAATTTTCATTTAAATTTTGTTGTCTTTCAATTCATGTGTTCACTTTGTGAGCACGGCATGCTAGACCGGTGCTCTCTAGGACTTTCACTACTAACAATACGTAAGTGTAATTGTGTAGGAACGATGTCGGTCAGTATACATGTTAAATTATAAGTATTTTAGTTAGCTAACGTGCATACGTATCGTAGTCATATACAAGTCTTTAGGGACAATAGTAGGCATAACTTAGGCACTGCATTCGAGTTCCAGTTCTTATACGGTTACGTGTATTCGAAAGTATTGCATTACTAATGTTTCACTTAAAGCGTGATGTCAATCCATATGACTAAGGCTGTTGACATGTAATAATAATAATGTATATTCTTATATAAACATATAAATTTACATGAAAATGCATGCCATTTTTACAGGCACGATCAAGTATGATATAATATCAAATCGTAGATTGTCTACAAGTTAATAATGTTTCAACAGTTAAATATTTGATATATATATAAATACACATTGTCTGAACTAGGCTGTATAGTTATTGAATTGTACAATTGTCCTCCAGGTTGAGCGGGAAAATCGACTTCGTTTCGTTTTCATCCCGTGGTTGTCGGCATACGATAACCAACCAAAATTGAGGTAAGTACAACGTTTACAAGGGATTGAAAGCTGTTTTAGAAAAGTAAAAGTGCTGAAGTGAATCATTAAATTGTAATGAAATAGGTAAGTGCAAGTATCATTAATAAATGCTGTCAATCACGTCTCATAAACCGTTAATGCCCAGCTCTCGCTACGCTCGGGCCCACGCTGTTCCTTGGAGTTTCAGAAACGCTTAGTTATAACGGACGCAAAAACCAAAACACCGATCTGCCGTTTGATATTTCTGTATTGTTACACCAACATATAAAAGGAATAAGCGAACTAAGCAAACTAAGGTCTGAAAACAAATATTACAATAATAAATCATAAGATTACTTCTGACGATGTTTCACTCTTCTTTCTGAACAGCGACCGATGAGACGATGACTGTCGTATTGATGCCTCCGCGAAAATTGGGGAAGTTGATTTTGAGCAAACAACCAAGAATTGATCGTTCAATCTTCAACTCCATTGACACTCCCCGGCAAAAAAGGGATCCAACCCTTTTTTCCTTCACGACCAATGCACGTTGACTTGGATGCCATTGCGAGAACCTGGGTCACACGGACAGAGCTGAAATGGAAAACAAACAGAAAAGCCAACACACCACAAGCATACCCACAGCACAATCTCACACATCAATGACGACCTGCGCCTCCAGACAGAGACCTCCTCTTGACATCTTGCAACACAATCGCCACTTGCTAGAATGACTCTTGCAGAATGCAAAGTGACCATAGCACCACCTCACGATACTCTACGCACATCCTCTTATCTACTCACTACCAATTACCACTGAAATCGCTTGTCACTCATTCTGCCTCAGTTCTAGTAGCGGTGACGCATGCGAGCCTCAGTCGTTTACACTCTTTCTCCCCGGCGTGTCGGACCGCAGCTAACAATTATCTCCGTGTGCATTTCATTCTCAGCAATAGCCTAGCCTCCCCGGCGTATACGACCCATCTGCTGTCCTTAACATCAATCAATTCATTCATGGATGTAGAAGACTCGAAACAACTTCAGAAGTAATCACGACGAAAATTTTAACAAAATTACGCAATAACAACAAGACACGAAAACAACGAGTAAACACAATGAATCCAAAAACACCAATTGATATGACACACCACACGTATATACAAATAGTACAAACAACCTCGCCGATCATGTCTTGGTGGAATTCCTTTGAAGAATTGCAGGACTTACACCAGTACGCCTACAACCCTTCACAGGTTGACGATTGTAAGTTGTGGAATGTCCAGACACAAACAAGATTAACCAACAATTACATCAATTGGAACTCACACAACTATTTAACACAAACATATGTACAATCAACACATCAAATGTTGTGGATTCTGACACGACAAACTACCCTTGAAGAACTGTAGGACTTACAGCAGTACGCCTACATTCCTTCTCAGGTTGATGATCCAAGTGGAAGTCGTCCGGACACAAACAGAATTACCAACAGCTAGATGACAGATGATATCAATTCAGTATATACAATATGAACATATGTACAAGATCATACACCAAGCACATTGGACTGCTCATTGATGCGCTACCCTTTGAAGAACTGTAGGACTTACAGCAGTACGCCTACAACCCTTCTCAGGTTGACGCCCTAGGTTGGAAAATCGTCGCAGAGTTCATTTGCTAACTTCCTTCTATCAGCTATATCCTCAAATCTGAACGGCAACACGCCCATGTCATTGTATCGTAGAATATAGATGACCAACAAACACACGACATATCTCATCAACCAAGTATAGAAACAGAGTAATTTACACCAAAGATAATAACATTCAAATAGTAACTTGAAACTAGAAATGCCTTTATTCGTGCAAGTCAATTTAACAATAACTCTCTCCTTTACACTTGGCTTATCCACACTAAACTGACCATTGATATTCGTCCTTTCAAACGAACTGATACTACCATAGTCATTGCACAAGATACTTGAGTTGATGGGCATCTGTTTCATTGTGGATGACAGCACCAACGATGACTGAGTGACACAAGGTGATGAACTTAGTGGTGGATCAGAAGCTGTTCTTGTTCGGCTCTCAGATAGTTGTCCAACTGCAAGATTACCACCACTGCTGTCTTTCACTACTAGTTCGGGTTTAGCACTATCATCTGATGATAGGTGGGCTACACGCTGATCAATTACACTGACTGTCTCACAAGTATGCACACCTTTTGGAACTGCATCTGCGTTCAATTCTACTTCACGTTGTAGTTGTACAGAACCTTTATTTAACTTAGCAGTAGTAGGCATATCCCTCATCTCATAATGATCAACCAAAGACAAATCTGCACTATCATGATCATTATCACGAATATTCACTTTACCGTCAACTTCATCATTTTCAAACTCTTTAATAACAGAAGTAGACAATTTTGGTTCCTCCTCACAAATCATTAAAGGTTTTATAACTTCACTCTGACTAGTTATACTTTGTAAACTTGTGGAGTCAGAACTCCACTCTGAAGCAGTAACTCTATTCTGTGACACTCTATTCAACAACGGCTTACCAGTTGCAACTACAGACTTCTTCACAACACCGTTATCGTCACACAATTCGGAGTCAGACCTGGAGTTTACATTTAGCTTATCACTGAACTTGCTCACCGGTTCACAGTTCACTTCTGTATGCACCTCTTGCACACGTGTAAAACAAAACCGTGTTTGTCTTGCATCTTGTAACTTATCTGTTGAGGATGTACTACGAAACCTGTTACACTCACTAGGTCTATATGCATTACTAGACATCATGGAGTCTTCTCGATATCCACCTCTCTGAGGCCTACTCGTCATCAATGATTGCATTTTGATCTCAGACTGCTCTATTCTAGGGGTGAGATCTAATAGACTGGCGAACTTGCTCATAGATTGATTGACACTAGTATTTACCAGTTTCAGGATATCATCAAACTTTGGCTCGATACCCTCATCCTCCATACGGGAGCTTATCTTCACCCACTTCCTTTGCAGTCGAGTAGGTAGACGTCTTGCTATTACTTCTAGTATAAAACTCGAGTTGAGGTCACTCATGCGATTCATCGAAATCATTCCATTCTTGTAAATTAGCAAATTATCTAAAAACTCAGTGAGTGCCTGGGAGTCATCCTGTAATTGACCACCATTACCCTTAACAGCCTCGAATAATTTCCCTGCAATCATCGAAGGTCTTCCAAACCTTTGACGTAATATGCTCATAGCCTCGTAGTAGCCCTCTTTTGGCTTCATAAACTTACAACACTGTATAGCTCTTGCAGCATCTCCAGTGCAATATCTCATCAAATACATTAACTTCAATTCATCATTTAATAAAAAACCACTCAACATGATCTCAAACTCCTTTACAAATTGTAAATAATCAGCCGGGTTTCCATCAAAACACCGTGGTTCAAATTTAGGGAGTTTGATGTTCCTATTATCCCTGAACGGCGAAACAGTAACATCAACCATGTCATGCTTAACATCAGACACATCGTTACAATTAACAGACAAGTCACCATGACTTACTTTCCTGTTTGCATCCAAGACACTCTGTCCCTTCTTTGACCCAGGCATTGTTGAACTTGACCCAATTCCAAAAAGTTCCAGATATTGCTTGTTCAAAGAGGACTTGACCGGCACCAGGAAAGATGAACGGTGACTATCCAAACTTTCACCAACTGTTTGAATCCGCCAGATCTGTTTCTATCGTCAGAAACTGTCAATCACGTCTCATAAACCGTTAATGCCCAGCTCTCGCTACGCTCGGGCCCACGCTGTTCCTTTGAGTTTCAGAAACGCTTAGTTATAACGGACGCAAAAACCAAAACACCGATCTGCCGTTTGATATTTCTGTATTGTTACACCAACATATAAAAGGAATAAGCGAACTAAGCAAACTAAGGTCTGAAAACAAATATTACAATAATAAATCATAAGATTACTTCTGACGATGTTTCACTCTTCTTTCTGAACAGCGACCGATGAGACGATGACTGTCGTATTGATGCCTCCGCGAAAATTGGGGAAGTTGATTTTGAGCAAACAACCAAGAATTGATCGTTCAATCTTCAACTCCATTGACAAATGCATTAAAAAATAGAAAACTCCCTAGGCTGACAACGTTCATTTGCAATGTGTAATGCTACACGTATATCACGTACTATCATGATGTCCACTTTTGGTTTTAATACATTTATCCTCAGTTGTGCCAGTTGTTTTTGTTTTATACCTTTTTGTGCATGTAATGTACAACCGTACCCTTCAGAGAGTAGGAATATAATAAGTCATAAAGAGCTGTAAAATGTTAGGTTTAATGGAATATAATGAGGATCAAGTAAAGACGTTATTGGAAAATGAATGAGATAAGACAT